AATTTTTTTTTTTTTTTTTTTTTTTCACAAATTGTTCTCTTTGAATGTTGACTTCAAACAGTTGATTGAATCTCTGATTAATCGCGTGGATTTGTCGGAGGATGAAGCGGAGGCGTCTCTTCAATATCTTCTCAACGATGCCAGCGAGGCATCAATTAGTGCTTTCCTCGTGTTACTCAGAGCCAAAGGAGAGACTTATGAAGAAGTAAATCCGTCGTTTGAACTACTTTCTAAGTTTGTGTTGGTTCTTGTTTCAAAGAATTGAAGTATAGTTAAGACGTTGTGCATAATCGACATATTTGAATTACTTCGTGTTTATACTACTTGTTGCAATAAATCATAGTAATGTAGTTCAGGATCAAATCAGTAAGAACATCTGAGTAATTTCTATGATCAACTGATTGTTTTTTCCGATTGAGGTAGAAGACTTGTTTGTTCCAACCTTTCATTGCGAATGTTGAGACCCAACCCCTTTTATTGTAAATGGCAAGTGCTTGATCAAAGGTCATAAGAATAAGAACAGTAGAAACATTAATGAGTCCTAAAAGATGGAGATAAGCATCAAAGGAGTAATTATTTGAAATCACGTTTATGATTAAGCAGATTGTGGGACTTGCGAGGGCGATGATCAAGCGTAGTGTGAAAGTGGATGGCTTATTTGATGCCGTTGACATTGTTGGAACAGGTGGAGATGGAGCAAACACAGTAAACATCTCAACCGGTGCTTCAATACTTGCTGCAGCATGCGGCACAAAGGTTGCAAAGGTGAGAAAAAGATTTTTCTGGTGTACCTTCGCTGCTATAATTGTTTGAAACATATTTGAAAAGATTATATGTACTAAGTGGAGATAACAGTTATCAACTGCATATTTGCAGCAAGGAAACCGTTCGAGTTCTTCAGCATGTGGAAGTGCTGATGTCTTAGAGGCACTGGGGGTAGTTATTGATTTGGGACCTGAGGTTAGTGCCTTGCTAACTTGGTTTTAAGCGTTTTACTTGTATAATGTGGTTCTTGTTTGTTGATTAAACTATATAGATGCTTCTACCATACTATGCTAATGTTTGACATCAGAAGGATTTAAAAAATTGACAGGGCTATACTTCATAGTTTCTGGCTTGCTTTCCCAATCAATTAAGTGCAGCTGTAAATTGGAAATAATTAAACATGCATCTATCAGCCCTGGCCTTCATATTCATTCCATATTTTGCTCCTTTACTTTTGTGACTTAGTGATTACTCTGTCAGGCATTCCTTTTGTTGATTGCCACATAAGACTTCACAAGAAGTTTCCTATATCATAGGGCATAAAACGTGATGAAAAAATATCATGCTTCTCATAAGCCTGCGTGGGTTTAAGAGTCACGATTGTCAGGTTTTTATGAGGAAATAATTTACATTCATGACAATAATTCAAGTATTGATCTCTTGAAACAGGGAGTTGCCAAGTGTGTTGGTGAAGCTGGAATGGGCTTCATGATGTCTCCCAAATACCATCCTGCAATGAAGATTGTCAGTCCTGTCAGGAAGAAGCTAAAAGTAAAAACTGCATTTAACATACTGGGCCCTATGCTCAATCCGGCTAGAGTTCCTTTCGCTGTTGTTGGTGTATATTCTGAGAACTTGGTAAGATTTTGCTAAAGTTTATAATTCCATTCCTCTGTTCTCTTAGAAAGGGGTGTATTTATTATTTCCCTTATGCATTTATCCTTAATTTGAATGAAGCATCGTGTTGCTGGATGGTTTAGGAGCTTTAATAATTGGTATTCATCTGTAGTAAATGCTGTCTTCAGCAGAGTAGTTAATCACTATATTAATTTAAGGAGGCCATAGTATACTCCATACAAATTTGATCTGCATCCTTGTCTTTACTCGAGAATCTAATTAAATGCTATTGTAAGGCTTAGACTAGCTGTGACACAAAATAAGGTGTCTTAATCATGCCACAAAAACTTCATGGTGAATGACAAGATTGTACCATACATATTTGGATTTAGGGATTTTTTTTTTTTTTTTCAATTTTATAGTATTATTTTTAAGGTTTTAAGTTACATTTAGTTAGTGGTTATGATATTGATGGACATGAGAGTTGCAACATTTCAATTGACCATAGATTACTCTGAGGTTTATTTTCAAGGCTATAAATAGTCATTCATGTTGCTGTAGTATGAAGATTTTGGATATTAAAATGAAAGTTGTGTAGTATGAAGATTTTGGATATTAAAATGAAAGTTGCATATTATGCATCTTAAGCCATGAGCTTGTTCTTTTGCATTTTTCGTGTTTAGATTTGCATGCTAGAGTCATACAAGTAGTCTTGACCAAGCTATTGTGTGGAGTGATTCGAATCACGAGTTTAGAAACAAGTTTTCTTTACTCATGATCTCGATCATCAAGGTAATTCGTTCCAAAACTTTACCTTAGGTTGATTCTTAATTGTTATTTGGGTTCTTGGATAATTTAGATACGAATGTTTTGTTCTTCAACAAGGTTGTTAGATCAAACCCCAAGAGTTTCATAACAAAGTGTTTCAATGAATTAATTACTTGACACTGAAACATCTCACTTTATTTGTATTTAATTCATCCACTTTGTTTTAATATATTGTGCGGAGTTTTTTTTCTATGATGCATATAGTTAAAAACTTTTCACTACCGTCTTTTGGTTGGCTATCATTCCTCTAATTTCATCTGTGAGCATATTGGTCATTAAACTATTCTGGCTGGACAGGTCCCCAAAATGGCTAAAGCACTGCAACTATTTGGCATGAAAAGAGCATTAGTAGTTCACTCGGAGGGCTTAGATGAGATGAGTCCCCTTGGTGAGATTTGCTTCATGGTCATATATACTTCTCTCTCCATGTTGGTGCTTTATATACAATTTTTATCTAACGATTATGTATATATAAACGTATACAGGACCAGGACTTATTCTTGATGTAACACCTGAAAAGATTGATAAGTTTGCCTTTGATCCATGTAAGTGAGTCCATGTTAAATTTATCATAGTTCATTGATTATCAATGAGAAAAGTCCATCTAAAATCTTTAAAATTGTGCAATAGTGGATTTTGGCATCCCTCGTTGCACTATAGATGACCTTCGAGGTGGAGACCCGGATTATAATGCAGAGGTCTTGAAGCGCATTTTATCCGGGGAAGAGGGGCATATTGCAAATGCACTTGTAAGTTAATCTTGTAATCAAGTATTTTCCATATGTTATGTTGAAAATACGCTGAATTGCCACAACAATCTTCAGATCCTTAATGCTGCTGCCGCCCTTCTGGTTAGCAGCAAAGTGACCACCTTGGCCGAGGGAGTTAAGTTGGCTCGTGAAACTCAACGGTCTGGAAAAGCCATGAAGACTCTTAATTTGTTGATTGAACTCTCCAATGTAAGTAGTAGTGTGTACTTTCTCAATTTCCAGCTGTTATTAGCAGTTCTCATTCCCAGATTCGAATGATTGCAGAATCTAAGAGAAGCATAGGAGCGCTTACAATTGAGCTGCTGAGTAAGATTTAGAAGACTGAGAACTTATCTTTTGAATATCAGACAAGTTTGAAAGATGAATTTCCGTCATTTATATCTGCATCCGACAGCTTGAGTTTACCATCTTTGTATGCAGAGTATCATTTTTCATAATGTTTGTATTAAGGCTGTGGAAGTTTAATGTTTAGCCAAATAGTTTGAGGAGTTTAAGATGGTTGTGTTTCGTTTTCATTATGAATAATAAAAAAATATAGGCTTAATTTTATCACAGTATTCATATATGGGTTAAACTACCTCACTTATCTCTTTTATTTTTTATTTTTTATATTTATTTTTGCAAAGAACTCATAGACTATTGTAGTTCCTCTGTACTGCTTCTCAGTAACCACTGCAAGGACGCAAATGGTGATAGAAGTTGAGAAAGGTTGGGAGATGTAAACACTAGCCAGCCATTGTGCAAAGAAGTTATCGGCTGTTCTTACCATCGCAACCACCGATGTGCTTTCCTGCGATACAGACATTAGGCACCATGCTTTGGTATGTTCCCTCCACTAAAGCTGACTGAATTGTATCTTCATCATCACCTTCATATCAATGAATTCCTCAACATAGTGTTTGATGAACATTCACAAGCAGAGAAGCTCAAAGAACTTGTTATGAGTAACTATACAGCTCAGTCATTAATATTCAATTGATGCTGGTCTTCATTGTAGCGATTCGAAAAGTAGGCAAACACACATGTTATGACCAGATATCATTCGTTCTACATCTTCATGTTTTATCTTGTGAATTGAGTCATCCAGAATCTGTACTCAACGTTGATTATTGTACTCAAACAATGAAGAATTTTGCAGATAGCGTGATGTGCATGAGATTGGATGAGACTCCAGGCAACTATGGGGTTTTCCAGCCCACACTTCGTTTCTTTCTAGAGTAAGTTGCCAATCTTTTGAGGAAATCTTGGATTTGTTTCAAGTATAATGCATGAGAATAAGTCTGAAGCTCTTATACATTTGATCCAACTATGGAACCAATCACAGCTTAGAACCCAATCGTCTGTATTCTACACCCAAAATGATCCAACTATGGGATGATAAACTACCAATGAATGAACTTCAGAAGATCATACTAATACATTTGTATTTTAGTTTCACTTGGATGAAAAAATGGTTTCAAATTCCTTGTACAAGCCTCTGGATTTAGACCGGAAATCAGATGAACTAATGGAGGAGCTTCTACTACTTCTGCTCCTACTTCTCCGCCCCCATAGTCCGCTCCACCGTGTACCGCTTCCTGAAGGATCATTTGAAGTTCCACCCTGCTCTTTAGTGAAGCTTGCCTTTGCCAACTTCCGAAGTTGTTTCAACCACGGTTTCTCATTACTCGAGCTTCGACTGACAGACAAGTTCCTATCGGATGAGTTATCCACGGTTTCGGAGTCTCCGTTAAGGTTCACTGAGAATATACTTTCCAAGTTTCTAGTGAATCCCTGTGGGAGAAACAGGAGGAGGAATCCAATAAAAGCCACTTTGAGTCCTGAAAAGAATGATTTCCCAGCATGGTCAAGCTGCTTTGCCTGTTTGTACAAAGCATACCATTCATTGATCAGTTGAGGACAGTAGCCTATAAGGAACAGCACCAGCATGGTTATTCCGAGTTTCGTCTGAGCACTGATTGAAAAGTCGTTATCTATGAGAACTGCACAAATAGCAAAAAGACTGACTTCACATGTGTTCGAAATGATCTCGATCAACTGAACCTTTTTCTTGATAAATGGCTTCTTGAGAACAAGGAAAAACAGCTGAAATGAGGAGATGCATAGTAAGGCAACCGTTGGAGTTCTGGAAGACAGTGTTTCCTTGTAGGCACCAGCCATGATTCCAAGAGTGACTCGTCTGATAGATTCGAGGAGCGTATAGTATATCCGAAGGATGCCAAACAGCTTTTGGATGAATGGTGCTTCGGCATCTTCTGTTTCATCGTCGGAGTCAATAATGCGATCGCCTCGTTTGTTGGGATTCGCCACAGAAATCTGAGAAAGCATATACTTTGGGGGACCTCTAAGATCTTCAAACATTGGTCCAAAAATGATCAGGAAAACAGAGTTTGGCTGGTTTTTCCAAGTCCATTGACTTCTCTTGCCAGGACCTAGAGTTACACGAACAAGTTCTTGATACCAATGAAATTTCTGGCCTTCTTGATGAACTTCTTTGTACTGAAGTAGCTTCCCGAACGTGATTCCGATCGACAGAAACAACAGTAAGGCTAGCAAAAGCAACGACAGAACGCCGAGCAGCAAAACTCCAACTATTACTCCTGCCAGAGCTCCACCTTACCCAACCAAAATAGATATCAAAACAAGTTAAAATCTTTCAGAAATGCACTCTGTCCTTAAGTACATAGAGGAAATAAGACGGTTAAAGAAGAGAAATGTGCAGAAACTACCTCGAAATAGTGCGCCTGAGGCCATGGACATGGAAGGTAGAGCTACAAATGCAAGGAATATCTCAAATCTAGGGAAGGTAAGTGCTCCATAGCTGCCCTGTGTGTTGTATATTTTCTTTCGACATTTCATGATAAGAAGGAAAAGCGCATGGAGGAGTATCAAACTGCCAGCAAAAACTCCAAACCAGAACATGCTTCTGTAAAAATCATTCCACCTGCTGGGATAAAACCAACACGTTCATTTGTAGTGAAACTGAATCGCTGTCGGAGTTTGTAAACAAGATATAGAAACAAAATGAGTTTAAAGATAGAAACCCCTTATCCCAACAATGTAGCAATTTTCTTAGCTCATAACGTTAGTCATTTACGTAATGAGCCAAAACAGACAAATATCAACTAGCAGTGAACTTGTGTTGTTACAGATGGTATCAGAGCTAGGCACCGAGTGGTGTGCCAACAAAAACGTTGAGCCCTGAAGGGGGGTGGATTGGGCCGTTACAATATCTAACGGCGATACATAAGGGGCCAAAGCGGACAATGTCTACTAGCGGTAGGCTTGAGCTATTACAATATCTAATTTCCATCACCCCAAAGGAACAGTAAATTGTTGAACGAGAACTGCCCCATTTCATCCGTTTTCACAAGCATTTTAGCTTGGAACTTTACATTAGAATACAAATAATGGAGCTTTTAGGTCCTAATGTTTTGTGTATATTTCCATTCATTTTCATTCCTACCAAGAAGAAAGAACCAGAGATACCTACCGATTGTAACTTCCTGCTCCAAAAATATTATCAGCTTGGGGTTTGATATTTTGGCTCTGTAAACAAAAAATAATCTGTTTATAAAAAAAAGTTCATCTTTCATGCAAAAGAAGACAAGTAATTCCTTCTTACCTCAAAAAATGATCTGTATTCCATTGGAGTAAGGGGCAATCCATATAACTGATCAACCATAGTAAAGTTATCGCCTGGAACCTTGTTTTGAAGAGCTTCTGAATGAAGAGTTTTGGAAAGATAAGGATTTGATCCAGTAAAGGGGCTGTAGCCACTTACATCAGGACGATCATGTTCATTTTCCCAGGGAAGCCTAAGGTAAGGAATACTCCATTGCAAACCCTTGGCAAATTCATAGTACTCAACAGGCAATGTAACCGGCAGCCATATAGATAGCGCGAAAATTTGAATGTGGCAAGCAATTCTCTGCATAGAAGAGAAGCTGCTTAATATGCTGTATACTCAAGCAATCTATCTTGGATAGATGTTTATGTTAGTAAGAAGATGCCACTTCGAAGTGGTCGACGTTCGGATTGAACATCTATCTAAGATGGTGAAGTGAGACTTTTAAGAACATTTTGATGCTTGTAACCGAAAAAGTCGTACTGCGATTGTTCTCGATCTGAACCCAAAACAATTGTATTCAAACATGCTCATTAGTGAGAGGCTGCTTACGAAAATGTTTCTTGTAGGATTATATGTCAGAAAAGAAGATGATCTCATGAATACTCCTGATTGAAGGCTAGCTGTTGATACAGTCAGTAGTCCTGCTGCAAGGGATGTTGCCGTGAATGTAGCGATTGTAAAGATCGAAACGACGGTAGATATTTTCGGTATAGAATCTGCATATTTTGTTCACAACATATCTTATATAACAATTGAAATGAATAAATGAATGAAAGCAAAAGACACTTGAGTATTTGAATGCTTACAGTGCCACACTTGCAGAACATTCGATGCTAGATTACGATTTCCTGCAACGTCGACTGTTACATTTTCAGGGACACTAACAGATACGACTTTATGCTCAGCTTGTACTTCAAGGGAGTACGTATTCCTGCCCATCTCACGAAAGCTGGACCGTAGAAAGAGTTTATAAGGAAAAAGACGAGCAAACACAATCTGGTTTCATGAAGAACTTAACCTACATTTAAACATAAACTTGCCTCAGCAAACGACCTCCACGAATCGATACACAGGATGAGTTGAAATCAAATACAGGCTTAACGAAACTCACAGAGACCGAAAATCTTTCGTCTTTTGTCCTCGTATAAGTAGTTGTGCTAAGCATCACGGTGGGCCTAAGAGAATCTGAAATGCACAGTTTGAATTGAATTCTGAAATTCTCAGACTTGTGAAGTTCATAAGTTTACAAGGAGAAATGTTTACCATAAAGGAAAGTAACTGGTGGAAGTGGTGAAACAGGATTTCCTTGTCTGCTTATTATAGAGTTAGGCTTGAGGCTTACTGTGATTATGGCAATTCCCGAAACATTTGTGACCTGAAATAAGGAACTTCATATCAAGTGAAACATATACAAATGAATATCAGAAACTGAAGGGAAAAAACCGCTAACCGAAAAGCTGAATCTGCGATTTCCGAGACTCCTTCCATGAATTGGAAGCAACCTGCCTTTGCTTACTTCAAGAGAATTCAAAACTTCCAGAGATGAATTAAGAACTGACTCTGAAAAGTACAAATAGAGCTTTAAGTTATCATATTTATTTGTTGCTTGTACCAGTCTGATGTCGTTGTTGAGCTGGATTAGCCTTTCGGGAACACGAGTTTTCAGGTTAGGAACTAGTTTTCTTCTATCTGGAAGTTCAGAAGTATGTGTTACGATTGCAAGAGAAATAACAAAATGGGAAGTAGTGATATGACAGTAAGCTTACCAAAGTGTACATAAGAAATGGAATTTTCTGTTCTTGCGAATATGTTTCCTGCACTATCAGTACAGAAGTTCTTATCCATTACTAATATAATTCTTCCATATTGAATGGTAGATGCCAAGGCCACAGAGAGTGAATATTTGAGGTTGGGCTGAAGAACTTTGAAAGATGATGGTATAACACTCCCTTCACCATATACCAGTAGCTGCAGTGAACAGAGAAAGATCAAGAACAAGAAACTTCTCGGCAATATCGTTAAACCGTACGAAAACAAACCGCCACCTACTCACGTTGCAGGCGTCGACAGATGAACATCCGAAACCTCCACCATTACAAGGTTCTGAGAAAGATATATTTACAGAAACATTTAGAGCGTTTGTGAATGCTGTTGAGGCCATAATAGATGCTGTGGGCGGAACTGTATCTGCAAAACAATGTATAGTAAAGATATTAGCAAAGTCCAAGGGAGAATACTAAGACTTGTCTTTCAGTTTGTGATTGTTATGTGAGACCGAGAGTTCAAAATATACAAAATTTCCACTTTATATATCATCTTTTCAAACCTTGAAATGATGCATGTTGTTTCGAAACGTGATAGGGAAAATTTATACGATGATGAGGGGAAACAAAAGTTTGAGTGCATCCTATGACGCATAGTGTAACGGTCCAAGCCCACCGCTAGCAAATATTGTCCTTTTTAGACTTTTCCTTTTGGGCTTCACCTCAAGGTTTTTAAAACGCGTCTGCTAGGGAAAGGTTTCCACACCCTTATAAAGAATGCTTCGTTCTATAAACTTCAGTGAAGTTAAGTAGCTGATGATCTGTTAACTGAGAACAACTATGGAGATTCTTAGATTCTTACCAACAGTCCAGTTGTGGCTAGAACAGCCAACTCCCTTGGAAAAATTAGTGCAGACCTTGAGTCTATGCTCTCCATCCTCCAAATCAGAGTAGAAAATCTTTCTGTCATTACAGTTTAAAGAGGGGCTGTTATCCAGCTGCAGAGGAGAAGCAGAGAGGCCCTTGAGTATATTATCAATGAAAGAAGAACACTGGAACACGAAGATAAATACGAGGAACCACATTTGCCAATTCTAACAAATACAGATCAGAATGTTTTGTTTTAAAGTTCAAACAATCTAGTAGCTAATTCTCAGTAAATGATACTATTCAAGAGGTCCATCAAAATAAAGACATCAACAGACAAAAAGGCTTCAACATCCATGATCTTACCAAATCAGCCAACTAAACTGAAGGATTATATTGCAGAAGAAGAAAAGAACAAGCGAGCTTAGAGAACTGATAGAGTTGAAGTTACCGAGCAACTGATGTTGCAGTGCTTGCAATTATCGCGGTGGCCGTTCACTAAAATTTCAAACACAAATGTGGCTGAGTTTAAGCGTGAGAAAGCATTAGGGGCCTCCAAGAACTTCACAGTGATCTCAGAACCATGGCAGCGAGCTCCTAAACATAAAAGAGAAAAAACCCAACAAAGACAAACCAAAAGTGCAACTTTAAGCAGACCCATTTCAGAAAAGTACCCAGTTTGCAGTCTGAGACGTGAGGCCAGGAATCAATTGGCATAAGGTCCTCATTTTGGAGTTATGACTAAAAAGGATGAGCTTTCAGAGTAGGTTATGCTGTGGAAGAAAGAGTGGCAATGGAGTTTAGGCAAGGACATGGGAAGAGCTTACAAGGAAACAATAAATGGTATTGAAGAGGCTAATTTAGTGGAAAATGAAGGCTCAAGTAAAGAGACAATGAACAAGACTACAAGAGAATGACATGCAGCCTACAAGATAAGCATTTTCACTGGCTGATTTAGAGAGAGAAAGAGAGAGAGAGGGATAGTTTTTTTAAATGAAAAATGGACAGAAACCAAGATAGTGAAAGAAGCACCATCGTTTTTAGCCCAAATGGTCGTTTAGTCGATCAAATATCTTCACGGAAGTGATTCGAAACAATAAAAAGACTGTTAACCAGCTCAAACATTAAAAAAAGTGTTTTAAAATTTCAATGTATTATTTCAAAGTTCTAAACTATTTTCATAGGAAAGTTCATGAAATACCTCGACAGATGAGGTCAGTCAAGTTCTAAACTAACATGGAAGTGTTTGAATTTGAGACTTCCTGAGTTTTCTTTCATTTATTCTCAGACCCTGTTTGAAACAAACGGGAAATTTGGGGTGTCTGACCCATATTGGAACGAGCAGCGACATGACATCGCCATTAACGGCAAAATAAGAAAGCATTGAATAAGCAGAGAGAAAATTGTCAAGTCGGGTCTGTTCTGTATTGTTTTGGGCCCATTTTCAGGTACATGAAAACCCTTGTGTCCTTGATGAGTAAGCTTGCAATATGGGTGGCCAATTGGCAATGGGCTGCCTTGAAAACCAAAGGACAACCTCTGTTTCATTATCTCCTCTTTCTCTCTCGAAGCACAGCCTCTGATTCATTATCTATCTCAGTGTCTCAGTTTGGATAAAGACTTCGAAAATGGAAGCACAGCCTCATGTGGCAATGCTGGGAGAGAAATGGGGGAATATTGACATTAGGCCAAAAGATGGCGACAAAAGAGAGAAGAATTTCGACATCAGGGAAGAAGACAAGATGTGGGTATGTGAAATTTTGGAGGGTATGTAGGAAAAACCTAAACTTTTCTCGAAAAATATATGCTGCCACTGCAAAGAACAAGGAATAATCCAAGATTATGAGGAGTTTGATTATGGGGTTAGTTGCTGAACCAAAAAAGGAAGGGTTGGATGAAGAATCCAGAAGCATTAATGTCGCCATTAATGCGAGAAAGTGGGCTTGCTATCATAAAGGAAGTCAGACCATTCACCATTCATATTCATTCTTTCACTGCCTTAGTTTTGCAGTGGATTTTCCATAGTGGGCTTGTTATCAATGGCTTCCCGTTCTTGTTTAGGCTACTACATGAAGGCATCAATGAGGCAAGAAGGTGGTGTCCAATGAGAATGAGATGAACTTGTTTTGCCTCATCAACACTTTCTTTCATCAGGCCTCCATGTTCTTATTCTGTCTTGTTTAACTTTGCTTTAGTGCACATGGACGACTCCAGATTGAATTTCAATATGAAGCCAATTGGAAGAGGAGATGAACTTGGATCATTTGTTGCCCATATGCTACCTACCTTTTGCTTGTCTTAAGGATCAAACTCATCCTCAACTGCTGCCCATGAACACATTAGTCAGTTACAACCTCCAACCTTCAAGATCTCGAGTCCTCTAAGATATGTTCATACCTTCGCTACCATGCCAAGTACCCATTTGTATTGAGATTGCACATTGATCATTTCAATTTGTACGAGTATATGATAATGCGTATACTGATTCGACATTTCCTCGGATTCAAAAGCCACATATTGTTCGCTTCAATACATTTCTTTAACTGATGGGAGTGTCATCAATCAATAGCTATTCAAAATTTAACATAAGCATTTGTTAGCTTCAGTTCATCAAAATGAAGATGAAACAATATAATGTCGAAGTTGACAATGCTTACACATACATCACTATAACAGGACCAATGCAAATTAATGTGGGGCCTCTTCCAATTAAACAACAATCACAAAAATCAGACAACTGAAGTCATTCTGATCCTTCATTAGCTCACTAAACACCAAGAAACCACAGTAAAAGTGGTTGGCCAGCCATGCTTTAATGATGAATCATGCCTCTTAGATAATGTGAAAAAGAAACCGAACCAGCCTTTGCTCTTGGTAAAGATTTGCCTCAAAATACAAATCGTAGTCTAAATCAGATTAGCTCTCTTCAAAAACCTGGTTGTTTTGCAGTAGTATGGCCAAGCTAATTCCAAGCGGTCAAGGTACTTCTCAACAACCCACTCTCTTAACTCTATGAGCTTTCTTGGTAATCCTTCTTTGTAGTCTAGATTCTTAATGATGATTATAGATTGCAAGAAACAAGCTATGAACTCTTCTTTAAGTTTCCCTTGTATGATATGGTGATGAGCAGTCTGGTAGTAACTGGGGGAGTTCCTAATTAATTTAGCCGTCTGCTTAAAGCTGAAGATGTAGAGTGCACACAACCAGTGAAACATCTTAATGTAGAGGGCAGTCACTAAGGGCCCTAAAACCCAAAGAGGGGTCAATTCTCTTGAAACTTCAGCCCCATAAAACACATTGACCACCAGGTACAAAGGAACACTGAAAAAAAGGGGCATTTAGAATAAAACGATTGGTTCTTAGTCTATGCAATATGTGACGTATAAATACGGATCATACGTGACAGTGCTAGATGTGGAAGGGTAGAGTTTCTTTCTATGCATAAAACAAGTAAATAGCTACTTACAATATTAGCAGAGGTATCTTCACTGATGCATTAAGTCTCAGAAAGTGGAACCAAACCCCTTGAAGAATCTCGTGGCTTCCCTTTTTGTTGGACTCTTGCTGAGTACCCGACATCTCTGCCGAGGGCAGATCCTCCAGAATCCCATCCACATCTCGACTTACAGGTTGTCTGCGCAACAATTCCAACCATTTCTTGAACAAATTTTGAAAAGCAGGGGATGGAGCAATATCCTCATTTGCTCCAGAGGCATAGCAAAGTGGAACATTATTTGCCTTAAGCTTTACAGAGTAGTTGGGAATCTTAGATCCATTGGCTACCCCACCGGTCGCATCATCTATACGAGCACTGCTTTTGAAAGACGAAACTCTCAAGAGATTAGGCCTTGGTCCACATAATCGAGGAGTCCCTACACTGAAAATAAGCTCCATGAGTTTGCGAGACAAGGATACACGCACAACGTTTTTCATATGACACAAGGATACAGCATACACATAAGTGAGACATCAGAGGCAAGCATAAACATATCCCAAAGTATACCGACAACAAGCAAGATGAGAAGTAACCAACCAACAAACAATGACAGAAAAAGTTGATAACTTGGTATTATCCACTTTAATCGCAAAAGCTTTCTATAACCCAGTATCAAGGTCCCACCCTCACTAAGCTGGGGCCACTTGAACTAGCCACAAGGCCTGGACTCAAGAGAAAGAAAGATGACCAAGAAAAGAAAAAGGTGGAGAGATTTTCAAAGCCCTTACCTTAAACAAATATAGCTCCACAATGGTGTTCGGTGTTCAGCTCTCCCAACAATGCGAACAAATGTTACACACTGTTCTAAATTCAACGAGCCATTCCAGGACAACAATCTTGATGAAAATTCTGCATAAGAACCCTACAACACGTGCAAGGTTGTACCCAGTTAGGATTGCAAACGACCAAGCAAAAGTAAAATGTGGGTGTAATATCAGGTGCATATGGAATACAATAACAAGATGAATAAGGGTAAATAGTAGTTGTTAGCCAACTGATGTCGAAGAACTTTGAAAATTTCTTCATGATTCTCTAGAAACCTCATTCAAAAACTTTTCTTTAATACCTGAGGATGAGGGGTAATTAAGGCCATCTTCTAGACCTTAACGATCAGATCATATAACCAATGCACCTGATTCAAACAAAGAGAAAACATACCTTATCAATATTTTATTACAGAAGTACTGAAATACAGCAGTCGACAAATTCGCTAAAAACATGGAACGACAACATGGACGAACTATCTCTATTCTTGATTACAAACTTAGAAACTAGACAAAATCGTATGAAACAAAAATTCAAAACAGACCTATCCCAAGTACTGATACAAAGAAGGTAATTTGACATGAAAATCAGCTCGTATTGAAAAAGGAATCACAATCTCCAAACTACACATTTGGGGGAGCTGAATCATTATAACTACCATGGCTAGAGATGCCCACCGAAAGCATGTAACTTGATGTGAGATCCCACGTTGATTGAAGAGGGGAATGAAACATTCTTTATACGGGGTGGAAACCTTTCTCTAGTACACGCGTTTTATAACCGTGAGCCTGAGGGCGATACGTAACGGGTCGAAGCGGACAATATCTACTAATAGTGGGTTTGGACTGTTATAAATGGTATCAAAGCTAGGTTCCAAACGGTGTGCGAACAAGGACGCTCGGCCCCAAGGGGGATGGATTGTGAGATCTCAAGCATTACTTATAAGGGTATTGAAATTTCTAGCTAGTAGACGTGTTTTAAACCGTGAGGCTGACAGCAATATGTAACAGGCTAAAACAGACAATATCTATGAGCCAAGGCCAAATAGTGCATAAAGCCACCTTCGTAAACTATCAGAAAACAAATCAGAACCGCAAAGGCCAACTGTCGAGTCGGATGAACTGATACATTTAAAGGCAGAAGCTCGGGCTTCCAGTATCCGAAGGATAAATAAATATAAGAAGTAACCAACCTTATCTCCATTGTTTCTCCACACCCCTCGCATGTCAATTAAACAACTCCCTAATTTCCAGCATACATAAAACCGGACAGCATTGGACTTGAACATACTAACCTTTGAGTAGGAATTCATGTCCTCTTCTAGTTCAGCAGCAGAGACAGAGAGGGGGGATCAAAACGAAATCAACAGCCTTCCCGTCGACAATCAAAGGTCTGGAAACAGAAAACCCATAGGAAAAGAATAACAGATGGAGATTTGGGGAAGAAGGAACCCGAAATGGCGAATTGAAGGTCTTGAAGGGACCTCCGATGGTGGACGGTGAGGACGCCACAAAAAAAAAACAGAGGGTAAGGTAGCGTTAATGGCTATTCCGAATGGGAAATGAGTGACCCGTTTAGGAAACTGGGTTGACCGAACCGACTCCAAAGTGGGAAATGAGTAACCCGTTTAGGTAATTGTAACAATGTATGATAAATTCAATTTAATTTATTTATATACAAGTAAGAATATACAGTCATTTTTCAGGGAAAATTTTGAAGAATTATATATCGCCTGGGGCGCGGCTGCGCGGGTAGTTCGTTCGAGGATCCAAGCCACTCTCTCTGCAATCACTAGCTTTGACGCGAGAGAGGGAGAGACACAGTGGCGGAACAGAGGATTATTGGGATTCCAGAATATCGTCTCAGTAAGCTCCATCTCTCTAAAGCTTTATATATTTCCAAATCAATCGATTTCTTTAGAAGTGTGAGATTTTCTGAGAATTTAGTGACTCGCCATTAGTAGTTTGATGAAGAAGTACCGGCAATTGATGTGATTTGCTTTGATCTCGTCCAAGTAGATGCCGAAGCGATTTTTCTATATTTAAGTTTAATGGACATGCTTGATCTTTGATCCATCAGATTTCATTTGCCTCATGAGGTTCTGTTTTTTTATGAATTAAGATTCAGGGATTTGACGTAAATAGAATCTAGCGGCTGTTCCTCTTCCATGACATCCTTGGATCTAATAATTCAGTCATCTGGTCGTCATGATTTCGCTACTATTAAGTTTGTTGATATTTTTCTTCCGAAAGGGAATTTTCATAGAAAAAGTGAAAGATTGTACCTAGAAACTGTAGATCATAGCGTGCTTGCATCTTGATGTTTAACCATGGACCCCAAGTCGCCTTCGAAACGTAAGCCGTCACCAACGAGATTCTCTAAGCATAAATGGATATTAAGCGTAACTGTTATTGTCGTTGTTACAATTGTGATTTCACGTGGTGCAATTCTGGCATTGAAATCTCTAGTTTCTAATGCACCGAAAGAGCTTTATTATACTGTGGTCGTGGACTGTGGAAGCACGGGCACACGAATAGATGTATATGAATGGACGTTGGGGATGAAGGATGGTAATGAATTGCCTGTTTTATTGCGTTCTTTTCCTAACAATTCAACTAAAAGTCCGCTTCGAAAGAAATCTTGTAGTTATCATTGTATGCAAACCCAGCCAGGGTTGGATAAATTTGTTGGCAATATTTCAGCTGTAAGGGCTTCTTTGAAACCATTGATTGAGTGGGCAGAACAGGAGATACCGATTGAAAGGCATGCAATTACTCCTATTTTTGTTTTATCTACTGCTGGACTGAGGAGATTGGCAAATGAGGATGCCGAGCGGGTTTTGGAAGACATCGAGGCTGTTATTAAGGAGCATTCTTTCATGTATCAAAAAAGTTGGATAAGAGTGCTGAGTGGTATAGAAGAAGCTTATTATGGTTGGGTTGCTTTAAATTACAAAATGGGGAGCTTTAGAAACAGTTCAAGGTCAGGCACGTTGGGAATTCTTGATTTGGGTGGTTCCTCGTTGCAGGTTGTGATGGAATCAGACCGTAAAAGGGAAGAAAGGGAAGAAATGCACTTAATGAGATCAAAGGTTGGATCCATTGAGCATCAGGTTTTGGCTTTCTCATGGGAAGCTTTTGGTTTGAATGAGGCATTTGATAGGACTCTTGTTTTGCTCAATCAAACACAGCAACTTGGAGAAAGTAACATGACTACAGTGGAGCTCAGACATCCTTGCCTTAGTTCAAGTTTTATGCAAAAATATACATGCTACAATTGTTTAAGCCATAACAATACGGGCCAGGGGAAATTGAGTCATCAAATCCCCAATCTTGGATATCCTTTTTATTTGGTTGGGAAACCAAATTGGGAGCAGTGCAAACGAATAGCTAGGGCTGCTGCAATCAATTCCAGCACTTTAGCTTGGTCTGAGCCTATCAACGCTTCAAAATGTCTTGCTAGCCCGTCATCTTTGAATGGTACGTACCACCATGTGTTTTACCTGTTGGCGTTCCTGAGTTTACACATTGGCAGAATATACGTCTGTTTTCCTTATTGTTCTCAGAACTCGGGATAAATGCAGAATTTCTTAATATCTATTCATGAATTAGTAGAGCATTAATTGCCTGATTGTTGTCAAATTTTTCTTAACAAATCAAATGGTGAATTGATTGCATAACTCACTTTACTTATCTGTTACGTGGACTACCTTACATATTCCTCCATATAGGACCACCTGTTAGTCTCTAGGATATTTAGACTTCGATTTCTATTTGTTGGAACTTACTCTCAAAGTGCATTTTTATCATTTAATGAAATTTGTTAGGACTTCCTTCCACCCCACCCCGTTGAGATTTGCGAGATTTTGGTTCAAATTCTCATTTCACTATCGTTCGTGTAATTGCAGGTGGTAATAATACAGTTGTGCACATTTCCACCACACGTTTCCATGCTCTATCAGGATTCTTTGCAGTCTATCAATCAGTAAATCTGTCTACAAGAGCCAATTGGACAAACATATGGAAAAGAGGCCTGGAGTTATGCTCTGCTTCTCAAGCTGATATGACGCTGAGTATTTCAGGAAACCAAACTAGTTTGTGGCAATATTGTTTCCAGTTACCTTATATGGCATCACTCATTGAGGATGCTCTCTGTCTTGGCGATAAAGAAGTGATTTTTGGTCCTCCGGATGTCTCCTGGACTCTAGGAGCCGCGTTGATAGAGGGAGAGTACTTATGGTCAAGTTCAAGTACAACAACAACAATTGAGAATCACAATTCAACTTTGGGAAAAATTGAGCCTATATATGTATTTATGTTTCTTCTGTGTCTTCTATTGGTTGTTTATTATAATCAAATCAAGCTACCTATGTTAGGCAGAAAGGCAGCAGCGGCTGGGGCATCTCTGCCATCTTATGCCCTTCCAAAACACAGGCCGAACTGATTCAGAGATGGTATAGTAAGTGTCATATACATTCGATTCATTCAATAAAATTGTAGTATCAAATACATCAACTGTATTGAAAAACATCAAGAATGTTTCTTTAGACAGAGGCATGAAAAACATCAAACTTCATATGCACATATTGAAACATGATTGTTGATTCCCCCACCACTTTGAACTTAGAATGCAGCAATGGCACTGGATTTACATCCATCCAAATTGGCTGCATCGACATCGACCCAGACTTCATTAACTCGTCCAATCAACCGGAAGGGCGAGTCGTATTGGGCAATGGCATATGCATAACCCCTTTCAGAGGTGGCATTCACCAAAGGGAACCTACTCAAGCTGGTGGCGAGTTGCTCTGCCTCCCTTATGACCTTCTCATCCCTTGCAAATCCAGAGAACTTTCTAACTGCAACGCAATGAGCTTCCCAACCACAGGGCTTCAGTTTCAGTTCAGGAAGGGGAAGAGGTGGTGAGGCTTGAAACTTAACCGGCAGATAGAGTTGGACAAGATAAGAGGACGAGTGAAGAGGGAGTTCCTGGGACAATGCTTGTCAAGACAGGAGCAGTCATGGCAATCCTTGACCAATTCAGATTGGCACCTTGTATGTACTGGAACAGTCTGCGCAACATGATCAATGTAAAGTTTACCCAGATGCCACTAGTGAACAAGTAATCGACGAGGAATAGTAAATTTGGGGTTGATGGGATTGAAATACAGTGGAAACTGGAAATTGGAAATGGGTTACCTGTGGAAACCATATTTAGTAGCTTTCTCGAAGGATAGGTCTTGGACGGGAGCGGACATCCAAGTGGACTTCCTGTAAAATCTGATTTCGAAGTCTGATTCTGTATGAACAACATCGTATTGAGGTGATTCGATGGCGATGCAAAGACTGATAATACAGAAGAGGTTGACAAGAAAGATTGATAATTTCGGATTCTCCATTCGACTCGGTCGCTCGCTCTGCGTCCTCTTCTCGTTCCCAAATTGGCATCTGGAGTTCATTCGGAGCAACCAGTCAACAGCATCATTTGGGCTGTATCGACCATGGCATGGCCCATTTCAAGTAAGCCCAAGATCTACCTCTCTCTCTCTCTCTCTCTCTCTCTCTCTCTCTCTCTCACGGAGTCGTAAGACATATTTCAAATCTCATAGCCTTGACTGGTGCAAAAACATGGTAAAAATAAAACAAGAAACAAGAAGAGTTACCGAGTGACAAAGCAAACTAAGGATAAAAGAGCCAAAACAGGGACAGGCGCACAGGATAAAAGACAGCCCCAAGAACAATAATCATGCAAACAAATTCTGAGTAAGACATCTAGAGGCACATCACCATCACCACACTGCGTACTCAATTAGGTAGAGTAATTATGAGATCTCACATTAATTGGAAAGGGGAATAATTATGAGATCTCACATTAATTGGAAAGGGGAATAATTATGAGATCTCACATTAATTGGAAAGGGGAATGAGTGTTAGTGAGGACATTAGGCCCCAAAATGGGATGAATTGTGAGATTTCACATCTGTTGGGGAGGGGAACGAAACATTCTTTATACGAGTGTATAAATCTCTCTCTAGAAGACGTGTTTTAGAATCTTGAAGGGAAGCTCAGGAGGGAAAGCTCAGAAGGGAAAGCTCAAAGAGAACAATATCTGCTAGCGGTTGAATTGAGCTTAACAAAGAAAGAAATCCAATGACACTGACCAAAAAGTGCTTTGAAAAACCATGACCCGAAGGTTATGCTCTTGCCAAAGGCGATACATAACTACACACCAAACCACCCGCTAAGTCTAAAGACAAAAACAGTTACCTACGTTCACTATTGTGACAGATCCAAGTCAACTTAGTAGTCTAAGATGAAATTCAGTGGGTCGAACAACCCCACAAGAGCAATGTTGACAATCTCGATATTGTACGAGAAATATTAATTAAAATGAAGAACAATTGTTCTTAGTCTATGCTAGCGACGTTTAAATTTGAAGTGACAACATGAGTTTGGTAGAGATGATTTGGGATAACTTCTCACCCACCATGAGTTCTGGTCCTCCACTACTTGAAAGCTTTGTTTTGAGTACCCTCTATTGACAGTCAGGAAGCTATGATTATCAATCACCTCACTTTTCTCCGTTTTAAACTTAGACCATGGAATCATTCCTAACAAAAAGTGATGGGGAATCAAAATTTCGTGATAATGTTTCCCTTAGCTCAAGAAAAAGGAGATTGACCAGCTGCGTCTTTATGCAACTTTCTGCCCCTAACACCATCAACCAGTTACACAGCCATTCAACAATCTTGTAGTATAATAAACCATCTTTTCTTTTCTCTCGACTAAGTACGATTAAGCTTCTTTTTAGAACATTTATTATCAAACATGTGAACAAGGATAAAACATGTTGAAATATGTTTGTTGGTCTATAGAAACAGTCTTCACTCTCAGAAATAGTTCAAAAAACGTGATTAGATTGCAGTGAATGAAGTGATACGTAGGGGTCACTCAGTGTCAAACTCCGATGAATTCCTCCTCTAACATAGTGGTTATGGATTGTAGTCAGTTCAATAAGGCTTGCTTGTTGTATATGCTGCATAAGATATCAGATTTGTTTATCTCAAACAAAGTAGCTGCTAAACAGAAGATAACTACAGGTCTTATCATTGCCAAGCTATGGTGATCATGAAAGTAAATGGCATCACTGACGCTCGAGGAACAGGCTTGCTCTTGGGTGGAGGCCAGCATCTTTCAGTGTCATATTCATCTCATCCATACCATATACTCTTCTTGGAAAGCTTGCTATCAATCTGTAGTTTTCAGTACCTGGCAGGCCGAGCGAGTCGATATAGCTGTAAATCGACTTCACCTTGTCCATGCTTGAAAAGCTTTTCTCCCTCCTTTCACCGTTTGGAAACCTTATTAGTATCTGAAAGATGATTCAAGTGATAATTAGACTTAGTTCAATGTTAATAGGAGTAACCTTAGCTCAGTTATATACCTGGGAGCTAGGCTGAGAATCCTTTGCTTTACTTGCAGGATCCTTGTTTGGAGTTTCATGAGTAAAAGTATGTTTCTTTGGAGAATTCTGCTTGAGCCTCTCTTCGTGTGCTTTCTTCGGTATCGCCCGAGGTCGATTTTTAAGTCTTTCCCTCTCCTAGATCAGGAAACCAGGTAGTTTTTTATAGTATAATCTTTGGAATTTAAATGGGATTTGCAGAAGATCATACCTTGTCTTCTTGAAGAGCTGCATGATATGCTCTGTCTTGTTCTTCTCGAAGCCTGCGATCGGCTCTTATCTTTTCGTCTCGCTTTAGTTTGGAGCAACCAAAAGCTGATCCCTGATCCTCCATTGTCCTCTGTAGAATCTCCACCAGCTCAGCTGGAGAAACTGGCCCTTCAAGCTAGTTAAAGATGAAGCAGAAGATCAAACTCGAGCGTGATCTCGTTAACCGTTTGATTAAAACAGAAAATTTGGAACTCGAACCGAACCAACCTGTTGCAGGACTGTTATGCTTTCGCCCCGAGCTGGAGCAATTACAGCACAGAAAGGGTAGTTGGTAGCTCCCAATGTTGTAGCCATTTGTAGGCCATCTCCTCTGTTGGCAAGTGCTCCCCAAGAGATGAAGTTAGCATCAAGAAACTGCACTACTAGCTCTGAACGCAGTGTCTCCTCGCAGAAAGAGGGAGTAAATGGGTGATCTGGTGAATGTAGATACAAGAACAAGAACTTGTGATCATCTTCTGCTATCTTCATAGCTTCTGCAAATCGACAAGCGTAAAAGAAAGGATGCATCGAGCCATACTGATACTCGAAACTGGTCAGGAAAGACCATTCTTCCGGGACGTTTTGTACGTCCTGCTCTAGAATCTGATATTGATAACTGGATGGCAGTGTCTGGCTTCTTCTACCTCCACCCATAACTCTTGAAAATCCTCCTAATATACTTCTGGGAAGATTAACCATTCGTCGAACGATGCCGTTGATCGAGGCCTCAGCTAATCTCGACGTTTCCCTCATCGTTGATGACATTTTTTTTACTCTAAACTGGGATTATGATACTTTTAGCAATGGACTGATTCCCTTTGCAAGAGAATCAAGTGTCTACTTTCTTATGCTTTGCTTGAAACAAAATCAACCACAAATGGTGAAGAGATGGAGCTTTCAAGAATCAAATTCTAAGCTTCTTTTCATTCTTGAAAGTTCATGAACAGAAGAATGTTACAGATTTATAATGGAAAAGAGCAGGTATAAGTGACCCAATCATGTATTATTCTCTGTTCTTTATCAGATGGGTTGCCTACTTCTTCACTTGCTCCCACAATAGATATGCTAAGATCACAAAAAGAAACATGAACAAGATCACAGCACATGAACCATGCTGCTCCTAAGTTCACCCAAACCTTTCTTTTAATGCATGATGCTTGCTGCAACTAGTAGATCTTGGTTGATGGAAGTCTCACTTCGACTAATTTAGGGAGATCATGGGTTTATAAACAAAGAATACTCTCAAAGAATACTCTCTTCAATGGTATGAGGCCTTTTGGGAAAACCCAAAGCAAAGCCATGAGAGCTTATACTCAAAGTAGACAATATCATACCATTATGGAGAGTCGTGTTCGTCTAACAGGTTCTACTCATAAAGGATCAAGAAGGTATTACTCTCTTAAGTCTTAACCTCACCCAAACCAAGCTCATACTGTGAATCACAAACAGCAGACAAGAAACCTTCTAGATTTTGTGTTGAGTTTGTAAGAAGCTTACGGATGAAGTTGTAACAACACAAGTCCACCACTAATAGATATTGTCATATTTAGGTTTTTCTTTTCGAGTTTTCCACACCCTTTATAAAGAATGTTTCGTTCCTCTCTCCAATCAATGTAAGATCTTACAATCCACCCTCCTTCGAGGCCCATCGTCCTCGCTAGCTCACCGCCTAGTGTCTGACTCTGATACCATTTGTCACGTCCTAAGCCTATTTCCAGTAGATATTGTCTTCTTTGGACTTCCCCTCAAGGTTTTTAATACGTGTCTACTTGAAAGAGATTTTCACACCCTTATAAAGAATGTTTCGTTTCCCTCTCCAACCGATCTTATTGTTCGACTAGAACAAAGCTGAAAGGGAGAGTTTTCGTGAAGAAATTGATTCTTTATTACCTATCAATCACTGTGGAGAACCCAGTTCATATTCTTGCTACCTTTTTATCATTCTATAACTTGGAACTTATGCTGTTTGCTCAAAACATGCTTGTCCAACAAGTAAACACAGCTACTTTTGCAGTCTCCTTGTCCAAAAAAAAAAAACCCCAATTAATTTTCTTTAAAAATATTTTACTTAATATTAAAGTATTTAAAAAGAAAATGGTTTATTTAATAAAAAAATATGAAAAGTGACGGAAATTTCTGGCTTTAATTTATTTTATTTATTCTTTCATAAAGGTTGAAAAAAGTGGTATAGTTTTTGTCTTCACATGACCATCCTCTTCAAGGTTGTAAAAATTCATAAATTTAATAGAAATTTTTATGAAATTATTTCAAATATTAAAAAATTATAAATTAAAATTTTTAGCTTAAAAATAAATAAAAATAAAAATAAAACTCTTGTGGCCACTGTCCTACACTCGCACGTGTTATCCCACATTATCTATTTCAGGTTAATTCTAATTTTTTTCATCAAAAAATAATCTTTAAATAAAAATAAATAAATAAATAAAGTGAAGAATCTAAATATAATTAAATTTTCAACTTTTAGGGAATGGGTCTGCCTGAAAAGAAGAGAGAATTTTTATTATATATAAATAAATAAAAAAGAATCCTAGCTGGCAAATCCCTTTTGTTCCTATATATGCGAGTGCCCAGCCACGCCCTTTTATATAATAATAAAATTATTAATTTTAAAAAATGTTCGGAGAATATATCTTAATATTCTTCCCTTTATAATTTGAGTATAAGCTCTCGTGGTTTTGGGTTTCAAAAGGACTCGTTCCAATGAAAATAGTATTACTCATCTCCTCTCGAACAAAGTACATTGTAAACCTTGTTAGGAATCACGACTCTCCACAATGGTATGATATTGTCCACTTTGAGCATAAGCTCTCATGGCTTTGCTTTGGGCTTCCCCAAAAGGCTTCATACCAATGGAGATAGTGTTCCTCACTTATAAACTCATGATCTTACATTAAATTAACCAAGGTGGGACACTCCGAATCCCAATAATCTTCAACAAACCTCCCTTGAGGCTTATGAAGCTCTCAAATAGTCTCCCCTTAATCGAAGGTGGACTCGGTTCTCACAGTGATCTAAAACAATTTTTTTTATGGGTGGAAAATAGGAAAAAACAGAATTTCCAAGGTAAGATTTGAATGGATTTTTCCAATTCAAAAGATTGTTGGAATTTCCACCCAAATCCTAACTGTCTGAATGCAGCAGAGTACTGTGTAAAGTTTGAATCCCTCTCTCTCTCTGTCTCTGTCCTCCTTCCCTTTCATCCTTAATTAACAAGAAATGAAATTGTTTGCTTTCAAGTTTTGACTGTTTCTTCTTCATATCAAAAAGTTTAAAATGGGTCTATTATTTTACAGCCAGACACAGAGACAGAGCACATAGAGAGCTTCTGTGTTTATTCTTTATTCTTCATCACATACAACCAGACAACCTTAATGCTTACAAATCCCACATCATTTTACACTCAAACAAACGACTTCCCCGAAACATTCCAACCAAAATGCCTTCTTCTTCTTCTTGTTTTGTTGTTTTGCTTCTGGTTTTTACTTCTTTCTCCTCTGTTTTCCCAACTTCCATAGCCCATAAGACGCCGCCAAAAAACCGAACTTTTTTCCACCCATCCAAAGAGCTGAATGAACTGAAGCATATCAGAGCTTATTTACGCAAAATCAACAAGCCTACGACCAAGACAATTCAGGTAAAAGAAACCCCTTTTTCTCGAAATCTTGATTGTTCTGCAAATTTGACAATCTGGGTTGTTTTTTGCTCTGTTGCAGAGCTCGGATGGCGATGTTATAGACTGTGTTCTTTCTCATCTCCAGCCTGCTTTTGACCATCCTCACCTCAAAGGACACACTCCATTGGTATGGTAACCAATTCATTTAAATGGGTTTCGTTTTATGAATTTGATTGAGGAGATTGGGAGTTTGTGATGAACAGCAACCGCCGGAGAGGCCGAGAGGGAACAACTCCGAGGAAGAAGTGGCAGAGAGCTTCCAGTTATGGTCGGCTTCAGGCGATTTCTGCCCGGAAGGAACAATTCCAATCAGAAGAACAACAGAGCAAGACATTTACAGAGCAAGTTCTTTCAGAAGATTTGGAAGAAAACCCATTAGACATATGAGGAGAGATTCTTCTGGCAATGGCCATGAGGTTAGAATTCAATGAAAAACTGCCTCTTTTTTTGGATTTGGAATCAAAACCTTTCATTCCATGAACGCAGCATGCAGTGGTGTTTGTTAATGGAGAACAATATTATGGAGCAAAGGCGAGCTTAAACATATGGGCACCTCGTGTTACTGATCAAAATGAATTCAGCTTATCACAAATCTGGGTCATTTCAGGCTCTTTTGGCAATGATTTGAACACCATTGAAGCTGGATGGCAGGCAAGTTTATGAATGTCAGTAACCGTAATGGGACGCTAAATATCAATCGTCTTAATCATCTTCTTCTTTGTTCAGGTTAGTCCTGAACTGTACGGCGACAACAATCCTAGATTCTTTACGTACTGGACGGTGAGTTTCGAAATCTGTTACCAATCATGGATCTCCATGATAATATAATATTGTCAGTTTTGAGCATAAGCTCGATTGGAGATACCAATTTAGAATGTTTTAATTTACTTGACAGACTGACAGCTCGATTGGAGATACCAATTTAAAATGTTTTAATTTACTTGACAGACTGATGCTTATCAAGCCACTGGGTGTTACAATCTACTTTGCTCCGGCTTTGTTCAAACAAACAACCGGATTGCCATCGGAGCAGCCATTTCGCCTATATCCTCTTACACGGGGAAGCAATTCGACGTTGGCATAATGGTTTGGAAGGATCCGAAGCATGGGCATTGGTGGCTAGAATACGGGTCGGGATTGCTAGTCGGATACTGGCCAGCGTTTTTGTTTAGCCATTTGAGGAGCCATGGGAGCATGGTGCAGTTTGGAGGGGAGATTGTGAACAGCAGAGGGTCAGGGTTCCACACGGCCACGGAAATGGGGAGCGGGCATTTTGGTGAAGAAGGGTTCGGGAAAGCTTCTTATTTTAGGAACCTGCAGGTGGTTGATTGGGACAATAATTTGCTTCCTCTTACCAATCTTCATGTCTTGGCTGACCATTCTGATTGCTATGATATTAGACAAGGCACTAATGATGCTTGGGGCACTTATTTTTACTATGGAGGTCCTGGTAGGAATGTCAAATGCCCTTGAATATTTTCATTTCTTTTATTATTATTATTATTTTATTGTCAATTTTAATGGGTTTATAGGATATATCAATGTAATTTATTATTATTTTATGGCATTGTAACTAGAATTAAACTTTTTTTGTTTTTTTGTTTTTTTTAAGAGCGCAGAAACTTCTACTTAAGATACGTTTTAAAATCGTGAGATGGATAGGGATATATAATAGGTTAAAGCTGACAATATTTGTTAGTTAGTAATGGACTTGAGTTGTTACAAATAGGATTAGAGTCCGGCATCAAGCAGTGTGCTAGCGAGTAGGCTAGGTTCATAATGTTAGTTAGTAATAGACTTGGGTTGTTACAAATAGTATTAGAGTCAGGCATCAAGGAATGTGCTAGGGAATACGCTAGGTTCATAGGAGGGTAGATTGTGAGATCACAGATCTTGGAGAATGAAACAAAACATTATTTATAAGCGTGTAGAAACCTCTCCCTAGCATATGCGTCTTAAAATCGTGAGGCTGACTATGATACACTAGGGGTCAAAGCAGACAATATCTGATAGTTGTGAGCTTGAGCTGTTATAAATGATATCAGAGCTAGATACCGAGCAGTGTGCCAGTGAAGACGCTGGCCCTAAGAAAGGTGGATTGTGAGATCTCACTTCGGTTGGAGAGGAAAACAAGAAACATCTTCCTAGCATACGGGTTTTAAAACTGTGAAGCTGACGACAATACGTAATGAACAAAAACGGACAATATCAGTTAACGGTCGGGTGTTACGTAATTTATTTTTATGGATTTTAAAATTTGAGTGATGAGAATGGTGCAGAAGAAAGGAATAGAAAATGGGTTTTGAAATGGGAAAGCATCAAAAGCTGTGGAAAAGCAGAGGAAATTAAAGGCATAGAACTCATAATATATGCCTCTCGCGTGCTGCTGCTGCTGCTGCTCCATTACTCTC